TACAGGATCCCAGTGTGGTCATTCACTTGACCTCACCTCGGCAAAACGGAGAGCCAACGAGATACACCCTCCGTGTATCTGGTGACCCGACGGCCAGTTCTCGTGGACTGGCAGGAGTAGGCATAGCACTAAGCATGAGGGCGGAACAAGCACTGCTAGAGTGGATCCCCGTCAACAGTCGTCTATGTGCTGTTCGGCTAAACGGCTCCGTAAGAACTCGGAAGGATAGGGACACACGTCGTTTCTGCCTACGCTCCCACTGACTGCAGCTCAGATGAAGTGAAAGATGAATTTTACAGAAAGCTATCTGAACTTCTTCAGAAAGCTAAACGTTCAGACATAGTACTCATAGCAGGTGACTTTAATGCCCAGATAGGTAGTTTAAACCAAACAGAAAGGCATTTAGGTGGGTATTTTAGTATTCCGGCACAACGAACAGATAATGGTGATCGTCTGCTGCAACTGTGCTCAGACAATCGTTTATTTTTAGCAAACACAAATTTTAAGCATAAGGAGAGACATCGTCTAACATGGCGACCCCCTACACCAAACCAACGATGGACTCAAATAGACCATATTGCCATCAGTCATCGTTGGAGAGGGTCGGTAGAAGATTGTCGCTCATTCTGGAGTACCTGCTTGGACTCCGACCATGCCCTAATACGGGCACGCATCTGCTTGCGCCTCACTGGACGCAAAAAAGCCACATTAAAAAGACCCATTAGAACTGAATTGAGTAACGAGAAAACCAAAAGTAGGTTCCAGGAACAACTGAGGTCACACTTAGGTAGTTTTGAAAACGAGGCTGACCCAGATGTTGCTTGGAAAGATATATAAGCAGCTGTGGAAACAGCAGTGACATCTATCAGTGATTTAAACCACAGGGTTACAAAGAACCAATGGATTTCTTCAAGGTCTGTGCACTGATGGATTCTCGTAAACTCGTCCCATCAGGTTCTGAACACGATGAAGAGCGTAAACAAATCAGATCTAGGTTAAGAAAAAGTGGTGGGCAACGAAAGCAAAAGAGATGGAAAAGGCGGCGGCTATAGGGAACACAAGACAGCTCTACAGACTAATAAAAGAAACTGGAATTAATAAGTCAAGTGTAAGTCAGACTATTTCGGAAAAAGACGACACTCTCATCTGCTCCCAGTCCAGACGTTTAGAACGATGAGAGGAACATTTCAGCTGGCCTTCAGCTACTCTACAACTACCCTCCATTCCCAGACAGTGTGAATGGAACATTGAAGTAGGTCCCCCAACTCTTGCTGAAGTTCAAAAGGCTATAGTTAATCTGAAACGAGGAAGGGCAGCTGGTCCAGATGGATTGGCTCCAGAGGTCTTTAAGGATGGTGGTCCAATTTTAGCGACTAGGTTGACTAATATTTTAGCTAAAATCTGGGAGTTAGACGTTATCCCATCTGACTGGTCACAATCACTTATCGTCCCAATATATAAGAGAGGGTCAAAATCATCCTGTGACAACCATAGAGGGATTAGTTTAACTAATATAGTATCTAAAATACTGGCCTCGATAATTATCGACGCCTAACTAAGACTCGTGAACTGCAAACACGAGAGAACCAAGCTGGCTTCAGACCTGGTCGTGGCTGCATCGACCACATATTCACCATTCGTCAGGTTCTAGAACACAGGCATACTTATCGGCGTCCGACAATGGTGGTCTTTCTTGACTTAAAAGCAGCATTTGACTCGGTAGACCGCGAGATTCTGTGGCAGTGTCTGTCATTGAAAGGCGTACCTCAGAAGTACATAAACCTTGTGAAGGCTCTTTACTCGAACACTACTAGTCGAGTCAGGGCTTATGGCGAACTGTCATCTACTTTTGCAACCTCAAGTGGTGTCCGTCAAGGCTGTCCACTTTCTCCATTTTTGTTTAACTTCATCATAGACCTATTGATGGAAATAACATTCTCGGGTATTGATCTCCTTCCAGGAGGTCCACTTATCGACTTAGAATACGCAGATGACATAGTCCTGTTTGGTGAAGACGCTGACAAAATGCAGTCTTTTGGTAGCACTAAGCAACAATGCCAGAATGTTTGGAATGCGCTTCTCTCCCTCTAAATGCAAGTTGTTGCTTCAGGACTGGTCTGCGTCAACACCTGAACTAAGGATAGGGAGTGAAGTAGTCGAACGCGTTGACAACTTCACTTATCTTGGAAGTCTGATCAGCCCTAATGGGTTGGTGTCTGACGAAATCTCAGCACGGATTCGAAAAGCTCGTTTGGCTTTTGCCAACTTACGTCACCTATGGCGAAGGCGAGATATCCGTCTATCAATAAAAGGACGAGTATACTGCGCGGCAGTCCGTTCTGTTTTAATTTACGGCAGCGAAACATGGCCATTAAGAGTAGAAGATACTCGTAAGCTACTAGTATTTGACCACAGATGCCTTAGAAATATTGCTGGCATCTGCTGGGATCACCGGGTAAGTAATAGTGAGGTTAGACGCAGGGTATTAGGGAATGATGGTAAATCAGTTGATGAGGTTATGAATCTTCATCGACTGAGATGGTTGGGCCACGTGTTACGTATGCCTGAACACCGATTACCACGACGTGCAATGCTAACCGGTGTTGGAGATGGTTGGAAGAAAGTTAGGGGCGGCCAAACCAAAACGTGGCATCAGTACTTGAAGTCACTAACTTCTAGTCTGAGCCATGTTGGTAGATGCAGACTACTTGGTTGGGGTCCGCGTGATTTGAGACTGTGTGTGACATGGCTCAGAATCGATCACAATGGCGTCGGTGTATACACTCTCTGTCTTCCCTTAAACTAAGAGATTAAAATCGCTTCATATCCTTCTTCCTACGAACTGATTCTTTCGTTTTGAACTATATCTTTACATAAAATCTTTCTTTATATATTACATAACTACTTTTATGAATCCGGTGTTCATCTTGTTGTGTTAATGAGGTATGGTAACTTGGACCGATGCATATATGTGCCTGGCCCTACGTTGTAGCTGACTGACTGAGGGGTCCACTGCCAGGGAATTCCTACTCACTATCTTCGCGCGGCATCACTATTGTTTACGACATTCAGGGGATGAAAAGTGAATGTCCAACATTTTAATCGGTTTGGTGGATATGAAGGATCCACATAGGGGAGTTGAAAAACCCTCATACCAAACCAATGGTACACATGAGCTCCAGTATCCTAAGGAAATAAATGGCATATAAACCTATTGCTGGTCACCTGCTACTATAGGACTACATCTCCTTAAGTTGCTCCTCTGCCATGTGGATCAGACTTTTAGGTCGAAGGCTCCAGGTATGGTCCCCTAAGAAAATCACCTGCTTCGGTTTGACCACCCGGGCAGTATTCCAACCCTTACACAAATCGAATGATTTATGTGGCGCATATTTATTTGATATCTTCTTGTACCAACGTTTATGTTTTCAAGTAAATAAATAAATAAATAGGATACTATGACGAAAACACTTATCCAATTTACTCTGATTTGAAACGATTTCTAATCTCACATTATGATATGATATTGCCAGGGTGCCCAAACAGAAGCAGATGATTTTCTTAGGGGGCCACACCCGGAGCCTTCGATCTGAAGGTCTGACCCACAAGGCAGTGGAGCATCGTAAGGGAGATGCAGTCCCATGGTGGTCGGTGACGAACGATCAGTTCATACGCCATTTGTTCCTGCAGGATACTGGAGCCCTTGTGCACCATTGGTTTGGAATTATGGTTATTTTCCAACTCCCCCCAGGTGGACTCTCCATGTCCACCAATCTAGTTAAAGCGCCGGCCATTCGCTTTTCCTCCCAATTTCGTAAACAACACCCCCGCCACGAGAAAGCAGTGAGTAGAACTTCCCTGGCAGAGACTATATACGCGTGACCATGTGAGAGCATTTCGAGAGGGAGTGCTAACTCTCCCCACTCTCCGCCGTACCATGGCATTAATTAATCTACTAAATAAAATACCAATAAATAAGTTAAACGATCTTCATCAAAACTACCTCGTACTAAAAATCACTTGTTTTTTCTAAACAGTACAACTTGATGCAAAAGTAAATTATATCATAAGGACTTTGTCAAGTTTCTCATGTTTGTTTGTTTGTTTGTTTTAAAAAAGAAAAAGTAAATAATATAAATTAAAAAGAATTACTTCATGTGCAATTTTATGAGTAGTCGATTGAGCAATGTCTATTGATATGTGTAGGTATAATAAATATATCCATAGAAAACCAGTGAAATAATATCAAAAAAAAAAAAAAACGAAAAAAAAAACAACCCATATCCATAATCAGAAAAGGTAACCAGACATAATATATACCACTTAGTAACCGGAAAAAAATATATATCCAAGAGAAAATTAAAATAAACAAATGAATAACATTTAATCAATTGAACAGTTTATATATGTATGAGCTTAATTGTATGGTTGAATGTTTCTGTGTGTGTGTGTGTCTGTGTTTGTTTGTTTGTTTCTATCAATATGTAAGGAACAGAGATGAAAAAAAAGGCAAAAAGAGAGGGGGGTAGAGAGAGAGAGGGAGGGAAAAAACTCTTTTTTAAACTTTGGAATTTATTGTTGTTTTCTTCATGAAAATAAAAAGATTATTTATAGAATGTTGTTTAATTATAGAATGGAAATGAAAGAAGAAAGAGTTATAATGTCAAAGATGATCACAAATAAATTATCTACATGTATATGTATGTATCTAGGATGATATGTTACGCTCTTACATAATACTTTATATTTACTTTTCTCTATAGAGAATTCTCAAGAAGAAGAAGAAGAAGAGGAGGAGGAGGAATAACACGGCTTAGATGCAATCAACATGTAGATAATGCACAAAATTCATTTAGTCTCGATAAACCATTGTATTGAAGGGTACTCAATGGGTCCGCCTTAAGTATAACACAAAATGTTTGATAGAAAAAGAAAAAGCAACAAAACAGTACTAATAGATATCAATAGGAGATATGTCTTTGAACAACAACAAAAAAGGTTCATTACTTTGTGCTAAATTGATATGAGATTTCAACTATATATAAATGTGTATATGTATGAAATGAATAGGAATGTATAAACTAGAACAAATAATAAACTGAATACCATTTATATTGTAATTAATCCAACATTCATATCATCATCACTTTCAATTTCTTCATTAATTTGAATTGTTGAATCACCATTAAATCCACTTGTTCTAGTTAATGGATTATGATTATTTGAGGATACAACATTTGTTGTTAATGGATGAGATGATGATGATGATGATAATAATTGAGATGGAATATATTGTGATTGAGATTGAGTATAATTTGTTGTTGTTGTTGATGATAATAATAGTGGTGAACTACGTCCAGTTATTGGAATATTTTTTCGTGGACCATATAAAAGATCAGAACTTTGTGAAAATCTTGAACGTGAAATCTCTCTTGGAACTAAACACATACTTTGATCAGCTGGTCGAATAGTAATAATTAAATTTGAACTATTAGCAACCATCATATCATTGACTTGATCTAATGATTTACCGTAAACTTCAATACCATTCACTTCAATTATTTCATCATTCACAGCTAATAAACCAGTATTATAAGCAATCCCGTCTTCGGCTAGACGAGATATAAAAAGGCTGGAATAGTTTCATAACCATTTTTAGTATAATATTGAATAGCACCAGTACGAATATTTAAACCGAACTGTTTACCAGGTGAACGGATCAGGCTTACACTAAATAAAGAATTACAAAAATTAGATGGATATATACATATATATGGACAGAGAATAAAGATCTAGGTAAATCTGTAAACAGTGAAGCGATGCCTTAGTAATTAAGGCACTTAGCATTCAAACAGGTCAGAAATTTGAACTTTTTACAACTCATTTATTACGTACAGATTCATTTACTTGACTACAAACTACACTCTAAGTATGTGGGCTAGTGAGTGATACTACATGGTTGCCAAACAGAAGTAGCCGGAGCGGGGTTTCGATTTGTAACTTAGTTGCTGTAAATCGAACTTCCTAACCACTGAGTCCTCGTAGATTTGAACACCGCTCCATCTATTTTTTAGTTGTGGAAGCCAAACAGTATCACTAGTCCTCATAACATTAACAGCGTGTTGCTCAAACTCGAAGATACATAAACTAATACTCAACAAATATGTTAAACCATGTGTTGGGTAAAAAGATTGTAGTTGGTATACTTCAGATAAGTGCAACAAGAACAGTTCAAAAAACATCAAAACCACCAGGAAAAGTGATACGAATACTAGTAAAATAGGTTGGTATGAGGTTTTAGACAAAAATTTTCGAAATAGCTGAACCCTAAGTGTACAGAAAATATCAAGAATGAAGTTATATTTGGACTTAAATAAATCTAATGTTTTGCTCGTCAGCATGGTTTGAGTTTCACTTAGGATTTCACAATACATTTTTTTAACATAGAGGGATGCAAATAAATAAGCAAAATACTAGTAAACACAGTATGAAAGGTATAATGACAAAAATTCTCTAGATTTACAAGGTAACAAGGAGTACATCCACGCAACTTTATTCAACTTTAGACCCTGTCAACCGATAGAAATTAGAAAGGTAGTTAATTTTTAAATTTTAATCAAAAAGCGTGCGATTGATTTATTGTATTCCTCAGACTAAGATCTGTTGACTTCATAGACTAGGTATGTCTGAAATCTTGAGGAAACTGATGTTAATGGGTGCCAGCTAATACGAGAACTACGACAAGGAAGGATTCCTTCCAGGTTAACTACACTAATAGCCCCACTAAAACTTGGTAGGTAGACTTCGATCAGCGCATGTAACGGTCTTAACCGGAGCAGAAGTGGGCTGAAAGAAATCTAGTAAAGACCAAGTGAAGACATAGCATCAGTCAATGAAGACAAGGACTACTAGTTTAAACTAAGAAGAAAAATTAAGGCTTCGTACCTAGAATCTAAGAAATAGTTGCAATTCATAGTTGGAAACAATGGATGAGATTGTGCAAAATCAATAACAGTAGGACAAGTGTACTCGACAATTAGCCTTCTAGAAACCTTGAATCTCAATATCATTTTATACTTTTCATCCTTATATGTCAGTCCTACTCTCTGGATCACACTGAACATGTTTAAATTCTTAATATCACTATTTCGACTACTTTTCAGACTTTCTCTTACTGTGCTGTGACAATTTGGATTGGTGCACACTTGAAAGAGGGGGAAATTGTTAGTGACAGATTAGAAATTAAAAACAATTGACCCCTTTGGTAAATTCGGAAAATGCGATGTGAAGACGAAGGTTATCAGAATTATAAGATATATCTGCGCAATACATTCCGAACATCCTGATCACATATATACATGTTAATACATTGTATAAAAAAAGATAGAAGACGGACTAAACAAATTAGGTAATAGGAAAGATCAATGCAATCGAGGTTCCAGTTTCCGTAAAAGCAAGGATTCAGTAGACCTCAGTATAGGTTCATGAACATTTTTGTATAACACTACGAAGACTGACTAGTTATTAACTCTATGACTCGTCCCAACCAAGCATTTCGCAATGGAGGAAGATATTTGCTTGGCCTTTGGTCTTGTTTGACCAATGCAGTTCAGTATGTGCCCAGTCGCCCTTAATGAGAGGACACGATTGCTCTTCACTATGCACATTTCCCCATGTACATGAAAATTGATACATTTGTTTCTCTTTAACTCCTAAATTGTACGGTTGACCTTTTACCTTTCCATATATATGTCGTTCGGAATGTATAGCATAAATATATCTTAATATCCTGATAAATGTATTCTCATTATATCAATAACAGGCAACATAAAATTACATGACATTTTGGGGATAGTTACGTCTTTACGTCCCTCAAGTATGAGCTGTAAGTGGCTATGATGCTATATCATTGTTTTGACAATTATTCTGTACTACTTTAACATTTAAAAGGCCGAAACAGAAACGTGGTATCAGCTCAGGAGGTCATTAACTGAATGCTTATGCATATCAAAAACAGCACGTTTTTGACAAACAAATCAAAGATTACGACTGTGATTAAAGTAACATTCTTCGGATAACTCTCGTAAAGTCTTGCGTCACAGATAAACAGTGATTTTTGTGAAGACCCGAAGGCCGAAAAAACTCCAGAATTTTAACGTGTACAGAAAGGATGTTTCGAAAACTTCAAGCCATCAACTATAGGAAGTTGGATGAGCTTAAGTATTCATCATAAGATGCTATTTACAAACGATTAAATTCTTACCGTCTTAATGTCCATGGTATAATATCAACATCCAGTATCGATGAGACCAAGTGGAAGTCACTCATAACACTTATGACAGGTTTTTCAGATCGACGATGTTTCTCACTGCCACCGAAGTTCCGAAGAGTGTCGGCCGCTCCTCGATGTATAAGACCGTGTTTAGAAGATTTATACCCGTAAATTTCTCCGTAACTCTCACCTATGCAAGAATATAGTCATAAGAATCTACACACCTTTTCGCTGAAGTAAAATCCTAAGTAAAGGTTTTGAAGAATTTACAGCTAGTTCGAAATTCTTGTTATTACTTATCGGTAGTAAATCTGCGTTTTTCGGCTCGACATACTGAATAACAAAAGGGATGTTGAACAACATGTGAATACGCTCAAGTAGGGAATAGAAAGCGTTGTATTGTAGTGTATCCTCTGCCATGAAACTAAATCGCCGGAACTCGGCACCAAACTTTAATGGGAATTATCCTCGTGTTGTATAGAATTACCTTGCTTTTGACTTCTACGAGTCTACTTGGGTTCATTCTCTAACCAACCTCAAAGCTCGCTCCCAAAGCAATATTCAAAAGTGCCCACAGGGTCAAACTTCAAACTTTGCTAAGTCAAATAGAAAAATCCTTACTTTTTGGGTCTTAGTGACAAAAGGGTGTATTTGTTTATGGAAAGATATAATCCTTATTTCACTTTTTCTTTAAAAGTGTGGCGTTAGTATGATTGTTTTATCACATGAATTCTGTCGTTTTTTGTTACAGATGAGTTAAATTCAACGTAAGAGCTAATTTAGAACGCTGTGTTCAGGAGGATATTACTTATCTTATCAAAGATTTAGAAACTGGGTTTTCTTTAAACAGTAGACATTAAGCCATAAACATGAATTTCCAACACGTTTTTCTAGGTGCGACTAGAACGATTACATCTACTTCCTATCCATCTTATTGTAAGATGAAGGGTGATCTCATGTTACAAATCCACATATAAAACAGTGGCTTTACTGCCAACATGTATTATTTTTTGTTTTCTCCAAGAATAGCCATCTTCGAAGTCTTTACAAACAGCTTCTAAAACGTTGATCAAGGGAACTCAGAGTAGTACACTCTTTCTCATAGTGGCAAGCAACAAGAACACACTAACGGAAAAAGTGATTATGACTCCGCTGATGAATCCTTTCAGGGCAAATTTAGTTATTAACTGGTGTACTTGCTGTAAATATTAATACAGACCAACCGTTATACTGCTCTTATGAATGAAGGCTGAGTACTAAGACGCAGAAATGTTCATCGATGACGGAATAAGTGATCTAAGAGAAACAAGGTGATGAGTAACCGCTGCTATCTACTGAACTCAAACAAGCATAGTCTTCTATTAAAAGACACAGAAGATAGTGCAATGACTGTCATCTTTCTTGGGCATTTGGTGTGGGTTGAAATAAACATAATTTGTAAACAAGTTCTGTCACCATTCGAAGTTTTTCGTAGTCCCATGCAATATATACAACTATTGTATTGACTGAAATACTTCTTTTTAAATTGACTTCTATTATTGCTGTTCACTTTTCTCATGGTATGCTGATTGTGGTTCGTTAAATAAATGTGTTCGCAAATACACCAAATTCTGACTTTATTGCTAACAATCCTGTTGCACGTTTTGGCTCATTTTATACAACATAGTCCCTGGTATTTATGCGCGAATTTTTTGAATTTATATATGACAATCACTGGAACTATTTTTCCCACATTGTCATAATATTGGATACACATTCCTTTCTGCGGATACGCACACTTCTGACGATAACATGTATCTAGTGATGACACTGGTTCCTAGTCACACGATCTTTGGAGCTGAACACGTAATTCTCGAGATTTAAGGTCGACATAAAACACTTAGAGATCAAACTGGTGAACTCAGGGACACGAGTCGACAGAGACATTATTCAGCCATGCAGGCGTGCTCACGATAACACTACTATCCGCACTAAATATGTGATCCTAAAACTCTACCTGTAAACCTTCTGGGCTTACTTTCAGTCCGGAAGCCGGGTAGTGCGGGGTCAGCGTCCTCATCCCATGGAAAACCACCTTGTTAAGAAACCCTAACCAGAATAAACAACTTGAACCACTTAAATCTGACATCAGAAACGAAGGCTCTTTATTCAGAATAATTATGACGCCTTATGGTAAAAACCGAGATTTTTCGGAAGTCACGGTGCCGGTACTCCGTCTAACTACCGGAGCAACAATTAATATAGGCACATGAAACGTTCGGCAATGTGGCAGACCATGACCACCAATCAGATATCTACGAAAATGAGCAGATATAACTTGTCGGTTCTCACGATAAGTGAAACCCATTGGAGACAACCTGAACAGAAAAGATTAGATTCGGAAGATGCTGTTGTACTTTGGACATGAAGAAGGAAATGCTCCTCACACATGTTTTGTACTGATGTTGTCGAAAGGAGCATGGGAAGTGTTTATAAAATAGATATCTCACGTATCCAGGGATATCAGCGAATCCTCCTAAGCGAAGAATGAGGGAATTACAATTAATGTTGTCCAATGTTAAGCACCCACTAATGATAGCAATGTGGACGATGGAGATCAGTTATATGAGAGGTTGCATTCGATCGTAGCGAAATGCTCAGTAAAAAGCATGACCACGCTGATAGGAAAATTGGACGCTTATATCAGAATGGACGACATCCGGTATGAAGATATCATGGGTCGACATGAACTGGGAGGAAGGACAAGAATGTGACATATTTGCAAACTTTTACTCACCAAAAAATAGTTATAGATGATACAGTGTCCCCCAAAACACACAAAAATATAAAAGGGTATCTATAATGTTTTGAATTCTTTGAATTATAGCACGAACTAAGAATCCCAGAAATAACGAAATTGAATTAAGAAGTGAGACACAAGCACAAACGAATGTATTGTATTTGGAATTCGAAATCTAGCATTCAACAAGTACAAAGGTATTATTAGTTCGTTCGAACACCACAGTATCACCGGACCAGACTACACATAACCAGGTCGATTATATTTTATTATTAGTATTCACGAACAACTTATGGGTACACAAGTGTTGTGAAGAAACCGTTTCGAGTTTCTTCAAAAATACAATAACACACAATTTTCAATAATGTTAGCATTATATTTGCCACGTTTGAAAAAGAAATAGAGAAATTACTGATAACAATAATAAATCAGGTTCTGTAAAATTGATAAGAATATTGAGTTACTTTAAAAACACTAAAACATTCAGGTCAATGGAAGATTTGAGAACCAGGAGGGGAGCTGACAGTTCTACATTGTCACCTAGTTGTTGCAAAGATGCATCTGAAGCGAAAGAAGAATTGGACAACTGGACAAACAGCATTACAAAGGTTCAATACAGCCTTCCGTTGAGATACTAACAAACTCGATGAATTCATAATAACTCTCGACAACGGGTTCCAAGCCTTACAAGTCTACTCAAAGAAGATCACAGTACCATGGAGGACAGTTGAAAAGGGACCAAAGAAGCAGTAACTTCGACGTGTCAGGAGGTTCTAAGCCACAATTAACATCACCATGTGGAACAGATTTCGATCGAAACTCCGGACAAGATTCAGGAACGAAAGAACAAGAAGGTAACAACTAACAACAGCTGAACAATAGCAAAGTAAGCCAATGCACAAGCTGAATACACTGAAGCAAACAATCAAGTGAAGAAGAGCCTTAGTGTCGACAAGTTGTAATATGTACAAGACCAAGCAATGAGAACAAAAAAGCTGCGAAATATGGAAATATAGGACAGAGGTATGATATAAAGAAAAATATAGCTGGAAAATGCTATAAACTAGGGAGAACAGTCAAGTATAAGTAGGGCAACCCAACCACTGAGATTCAAGCACATAGGAACAAGTGGAAAGAGCACTATGAAAAACTCTTGAAAAGACCAGTCCAACTGAACTAATCGGATATCGAAACTACAAACAGACATTCTTACGGATGAAACTTTACAAGACGTCGAGGAAATTAGCATGGCCACCAGACAAATCAAAAGTAGGAAAGTAGCAGGGCCAGAGTGTTACGTCCAAGTTTTGCTCGTTCCAGTTATTGAAGTACGGACTATCGATCTACTTGCAAATTACGAACCCAAGTAGGCAAGAGAACCAAAATTCAAAATTAGATACTAAATTTATTCGCAATTCACAAATAACCGACCAAATGTCGTTCTAACAACAATAATTATAACAATTAAAAAACAAACCTTCAATTTTGTAGGTTCCCGGAGCAAAACTCCCAAATACCAAACCAAAGACAAAGAGAGCACCAAAATACCAAACCAAAATGTCCGAAATAATGATATAAACAAACAAGTTCAAAAGTTAAGTAAAACAATGACATCCAAAACACAGTAAATTATTGATGTACAATAAAAGGTTTTAATCCGCCAAATGTCTTCAGTTCTCCCGTAACACAGAGAACATAACAGCTGAAGCAGTGAATTCAGACAGAGATGACTGCATACGTGCTCCACGTTCTATTCAGTAAAATTAAGGATGGAGAACATGTGCCAACAGACTAGAAAAAAGTACACCTCATCAAGATACCAAAGAAAGTATACTTGAGCAAACGCGAGAACTAGAGAGGCATCACACTACTATCTGTACTACGAAAAGTTTTCAACCGAGCGTTGTTGAACCGAATGGAAGATTCAGTAGACGCCCACTACAAGACCAGCAGGCCGGATTCAGCAAATAAAGGACACATACTGCAGAGTTCATCAGTTTACATCACGAGACGAACCCCGACTTGGAATCTTGAAGGGAAAGGTGGAAGACCAAAGTAAGCATTAAGCATGGAATTGAGTGCAGACATCAAAAGATTGAATAGAAAGTTGGAACAACTGGAATCAAAAGCCTAGGATAGACTTACTTACATACTTACTTACTTACTTACTTACTTACTTACTTACTTACTTACTTACTTACTTACTTACTTACTTACGCCTGTTACTCCTCGTGAAGGAGCATAGGCCACTCACCAGCATTCTCCATCCAACCCTGTCCTGGGCAATCCTTTCTAGCTCCGTCCAGTTGTAATTCATCCTTTTCATATCTGCTTCTATTATCCGACGCAATGTGTTCTTTGGCCTTCCTCTTTTTCGCTTCCCTTCAGGGTTCCAAGTTAGGGCTTGCCTCGTGATGCAGTTTGACGATTTGCGTAATGTATGTCCTATCCATTTCCATCGTCTTTTCCTAATTTCTTCTTCAGCTGGAAGTTGGTTTGTTCTCTCCCACAGAAGGCTATTGCTGATGGTATCCGGCCAGTGGATGTTGAGTATCTTGCGTAGGCAGCTATTTATAAATACTTGTACTTTCTTGATTGTGGTTGTTGTAGTTCTCCAAGTTTCAGCTCCATACAGTAGAACTGCCTTGACGTTCGTATTGAAGATTCTCACTTTGATATTGGTTGAAAGTTGTTTTGAGTTCCATATGTTCTTCAATTGTAGGAATGCGACCCTTGCTTTGCCG